CGACGACAAAGGTAGGCGCAAGGAGGCTGCCTTCGCCAACGGATATCGTGCCCGACACGATTGGGGACTTGATCGCCAATATGGTCAATGAGAAGGGCCGTCGAGATCCTCGAATTCGACGAAGAGCAAGTTGACGGGCCATTGTACGATGGTCTTTCTGTGTTTGATGAAGGACCCGAAGAGGTGGAGGAGCGTCTTACCGACGAAGTGGACGATCTCTACGACGGTCCACCGATTTTTTATGAGGCCTCTGGGGCTAGAGAAATTCCATCATGTTTCGTTTATCAAAATTCAGCTGCGGGAAGAATTGGTAGTTCTTCTGTTGCGCAGGTCCGAGCTTTTCTCCCACGGGAATTTGTTGCGACCAAACAGATGTTTTTTGGTCCCCACGGTGACTTCAATATTCTGTGTGTAGCTACTGCATATATGTCTTTCCATGAATTTCAAGGAAGTGATACCATGGAAATGAGGCATTCAACCTTCGTGTTCGACCGGGGGAAACGACGGGGGTTACTACCATGGGTTCGAGGGCCACGGGAGCGCATCGGCTTCGAGGGTGAAGCCTTCCGAACCGGGAGAGAATGGTGTAGATTATTGTTATTATTATCTTGGAGAATAAGTTAGGAATTTAATATTATTAAAGAGATCTAGGACAAGTTAGGAATAGGGTTAGGAGCCTTATTTAAAGGACTCCTATCTATCGTTTTAGGGAGTTGATTATTGAAATGAAATAAGATTTGATATCGTGTTTTGGTGTTCTTGAGATTGCGATCTCATTAATATCGTCTCACCCGTACGCTTCCCTACATGAGATAACTTGAATTAACAAGCATCAGAGCCTATACTCCATATCCACATGTTTCCCCCACACAACCAAGTTACAGTAAATGTACAAATTGTAAAAGAATACAACTTGAGAACAAATTTGTCCTCAGCCTCTCCTATCAATAACAGAATTCAGGCTTCAGAAACAAACATCCTATTTCATAGCCACAACAAATATAAAGTAACATTTTGAATAGTATGCGCAAATTTTCAGGTACTCAGCTGAAATCTGAACTGATGATAACAAAAACAGAGAAGCATAATGCACCAACGACAACATAGATGATGTTTCAGCAGAAACTGGCTAGAATTCAAAATTCTTCTATTTTACAACTGTAATTTGCTCGATTGGTGTACTCTTATCCGAAAAAATAATAGTGCTAACCTCAGAAGGAAACTCAGCACAGAGGCGCTCGCACATGAAAATAGCATTTCGATACATCAAGTGCTGTAAGCTGTTCCGTACAGAATCGACAAGGATAGCTTCCATGCCAACCGCGCATAAAGATGTTTGCTTCAATCAATCTTGTGATGGGGAAGACGTTTGAGAAGAAATTCACCCCAAAATCTGATATGTTATTAAGAGCCCAAAAGAATTACAAACTACAAATTCCGCATTGAATTCAGGGAATTAAGCATGAACAACAAACAATCCTTGTCTGAATCATTGTCAAAATCTATGCAAAACCCCCCAATTGCACCAAAACCCTAACTTTAGAAATTTGAATATTTTCAAATAGCTATAATCCCACCGTTGGATTGGGACACTGCACTATGACCCCCTAATTTATTGAATTTTGTTTTTCTCCCTCTTGAACATTTTTTTCCATTTTCTCCTCCTCTAATCTTTCTTTATATTTCTTCACGTAATCCTCCTTATATATAATTTTCGAATTCGTTAGCTTAAATGGCAGTTTCGCACACTTTGAAATACTACTTGACAAAAAATTATGCTTCGTAATTTTGTTTGGATAAAAAATAATATTATTGTAAATAAATAATTTTAAATTTGGACATTCCATAAATATTGAAAAGCTAACTTGGATAATTTCATAATACTTTGACTAATATAACCATTAAATTATTTTGTAAGATTATTTAGTGTTGTTTATATGACTAATATAGCCCTTAAATTTGTTTTGGAATCTCTCAATTGGCAATTAACTTTTTCAAATTGAATGTTTCGATCAAAAAGAAAGCACCAACCTCCGTGGCTCCACCGGTGGTCCCAAAGAAACCATGGCCTCTTCCCCTTCATCCTCTATGCCATAATTCTTCTCCAGTCGTCGCTTCTCTTCCTAGAAGGAAACCTCATTGCGTTACCTCTGTCGGCGTTTCATCTTCCAAAGTCTTCGTTGCACGGCCGTAAAGGCCCAAGTATAGATGCAATTCATTGGGTACTACTGCCTATCGAGCAGCGTTTTGAATAGCGTAATTTCGCGCGCTACGAAGTGCACTATAGCGCGTTTTTACCCAAAATGTGACATAACGCATATAATTTTGCGCAATTCCAGAAAGCGCACGTAATTTATGTTATATTTTATGCTATTTATGCAATTTACGCTATGTTTTGCGCTATTTACGCAATTTGAGCTATATCTCACGCTATTTGGGCAATCCTTATTTATAGGCAAAAAATAAAAAATAAGATAATAAAATACAAAAAAAAAACGTAGGGCACAAAATTGAGTAATTTCTCCAATGATGAATTTGAGTGATTATTAAATCATGTTTTGTATTTCTCTTGAAAAAAAATATATATTTGAAAATTTGATATCAACATAACTAGGATTGACTTTTTTATGTTTGTTAAGCTCAAAAGTGAAATGAGAAGAACATTTCTTTTTTTTCTCCAAATGATAAGGAGATGCAAGAATTTGGTGAAATTGTACCAATGATATTTTGTAGCGAAAATCTCTATAGCTTTGATAGAATTGACGATGATAACCAAATTCAATTGGATAACACCGATTATTTTAAGATTTTGAGTCTTTACTTTAAACATTAAGACTTGGTTGTTTGAACAATTAATATTCGAATGTTATTTTTTAGATTTAATATCCAAGTTAATTTATGGTTTAAGACAATTTTAATTATTTATTTGCTTGTATGGTTATATATTATTATTTTTTTGCATTAAAAGTGAATTGCTCAAATAGCTTACGCAATTCAAGGACCAAAACGCGACGCATTGCGCGATGCGCGTTTTAAAACACTGCTATTGAGTAAGTTATACAATTATTGGATTAAAAAGTATTGTATCTAGACGTGTTTTCATTGGTTTTGTTGATTGTGTTGACCTAATTAATTCTTAAGTTTGCTATTAAATTTGACATTTTTTAGAAGTGATAGATAGTTAAAAATATGTGATTGAATGAATATTGAATTAAAATATAATGATTAAAGTTGATGTGAAGTAAGAGAGATGTGATTGATATCAATATTTAATTATATTATTATTGAAGATAGTGTGATTGGGTTAAATTTGATTTAGATTTTGAGTTAAAATGAGTAAAAAAAAAAAAATTGATCAATTATGATTGCTTACCAATCACCCCTTAGAACTGTAAAGTCATGACGAAACTCGAACTCATTCATTATACTCTAGCTCTACACAAGCCTTTATTGACCGGCTCAACTTATTTAATTAACGAGCTGATAAACAAGCTCGATAATTAATGTGTCGAACTCAAAGCCTAAACAAATCAAACCAAGCTAAAAGTTTAGGAAATTACTTGCAATGGACCCTTACTTTTCCGAACATAACGAGCAAAGCCCGAGTTGGCTCAAACATTAACTATACGAGTCAAGCCAAACTCAAGTTTCAACGAGCAACTCGTTTCATGTTACTCTGACCCCAGAGCACCCATTCTCGGAGCTCTTGCAGGTGCAGTGTACATAGTCAGGCAGTAAAAGCCCTATCAGAACGTATCTTCAGAAGGGCATGGTCTCATTTCCAATTATATCAATGAGCTCAGATTCTCCTTGGAGGTGGGAAAAAAACTCAAGATTCGCATCTGGTAAATGCGGTTATGAACAAATGTGATAACTTTAGCTTGACCATGAACAATGAAAAAAAAAAAAAAAAAACAACTTTGGCCAAGAATTTTCGTCCCATGTGCATTGACCACATTTCAAAGATGTAACAAAACAAAACAGGGTAAAAACTATTGTTCTAAGCTTTAAGGTCGCACAAATTTACCAGTCATTCCCATCCCAATCAACTTCCATTTAATCAAAAACCTTGAACAAAATGATTCGCCCACACTTTAAGGGCACAAAAAAATTAATCAATGGCAGACCAAAGAACCAACACTAAAACACAAAACCCAAGTGTCTACTAAGGCACGAACCATAACAACTATAACACTTATATCAGGCTCAATATGTTACACTAAAGTGAAAAACAATCTTTCAAGAGTCAAAATGAGAAAGAACAGGCCCAAAATCGATCCAAAATCGCCAAGAGAACTGTAAATACTCCGATACATAATTATCAAGATCCGCATCCAAGTACAAGAATAGCATTAGCAACATTCATCTGATTCATGAACTAAATTTTTCATGCTAATTCATCTTGCTGAGCAACTCATTTATGTGGTCCTCACGATTTCCTGAGTCCCCACCATCTTCATACCGTTTCTTCCTACCACGCAAGGCCTTTTCCGGATTATTCAGCATAAAGGGGCATAAAAAATTTGTGACTAACTTAAAGTTTTTGCCAACAGAGGCAACCTCATTCACGATGTCTTCTATGCATATGATGTTGTGCTCGCCTAGTTTCTGCCACAAAGCAAACAGGAAAAGTTGTTTAGGAATTTATAGGCAGCAGTTTAAATAAGGATCATGAAGAGAATGCAGAGAATCAGCAAAGTAAACAAAGACAAACCTGCTCAACAATGTTGTTGTCAGTTAAAGGAAACCTCTCCTTCCCAACTTTAATCACACCTTTCTTGTAAATTAAGTCCTTGATACTCTTGAAATTGGGATAGCTACAAGTACGAAAATAAAAACAATGACGAGGACATTAAAAATGATGACAATCACATATGATCTATATTTCAAACATTCTCAAAATGTTTAATGAATCTGATACTGCAGCAAATGTTATGTTACGAAATGATTAAGCAGAAAAAGAGATCAAATAACTAGTGCAAGACATATCTGGAGCACTCAGATCAAAAGAAAAAGTAGTATACCAAGATAACGCACCATAATAGGAAAAATAAGAGGTAATAAACAAACAATACAATCTAAGTCCAACGCATATTACACAGACACGCTATTGATGGCTGAAGGTTCTTGCCAACAGGTATCAAAAGTCATGGTAGAACCTACTTTTGGCAACTCCTAGCAAGCTAAAGCAGTTTTCAAATTTCAATAAAAGAATGATTAAATTCATTTTGATTACAAGGGATCAAGTCGATGGCTTTCACCGCTCTTTCGACATTACTTCCTGCAGATTCTACTTTTCAAATGGCAAATGTAGTCAGATCTCTATGCATAACACAGCTTCTAATAAGCAAACTCTTAAGAACAAGATAATAATTGAAGTCCACGATAAATTTCAGCTGAGTCCCCAGCAGGATAACATTCTACAGTTGTACTAAAGCAACAACAGGCACCAAAAGTAATGGAAAACTAGTTAGGCATACCCATAGGTAACATAAGGCTCCACTTTTTGCAAGATTTCCATTAGTCCATCGTTTGCCTTCACAAATACCCCACTAAACACTTTCCTCAATCTCAGAGCGTGCAAAATCTTTCGTGTTTTCGGATGCATATCATTTTTGCTGCAAAGACAATACATGTACATTTACACCACAAGAACAATAAAACACAACAATAAGTAGCAGAACAATATGTCAAAAATTTGAGCTGACCCCCCAATGCGAATTACGAATAGAAGCTTAGATTCTGCCGTAGCCGATGCCCTTCTTTTTCGCCCCACCCTACTCTTCATTTGCACGAAGTCCAATTCCTGAATTCAAAAGGCAATGCCAGCAAATTCGCGGAAACACGTAAACATCAAATCCTTTAACATATGAACCTAAGCCATGTACAAGTAGCAATATGAATCTATTACAATCTCTTACCCTGTCGCGAAATTCTCGGATAAACAGCTCGGGCTTCTTGATGAAAGAGCTGTCGGGCCTGCGGCGTTTAGCACGTTCCTGTAGCTGCAGCTTTCTTTTGATTGCCCATTCCTCGTTGTTTTTCCTTTTCTTCAGCACCACCTCTGGTATGTAGTTCAGAGCCGGCGGCGCCGCCTCATCCTCCGCGGCCATGTTTGCGTTGGTGGGCGAAAGGGGAGTGATGGTAGGGTTTTGTTTCTTTGAGGCGAGAGGTTTGCTTCAGAATATTATTAAGGATCCTTTATTAGGGTATGACAAATTTACATTAAATAATTAGCCAGTTTTAATGTGAAGCAATAGTTGGATTTTCATAGTGAACCAACTTTCTTATATACAACATGTAAATAATATCATAGTCTTTGATTATTTATATAAATACAAATAATTTTATTAATATGGTATGATTTACTTATTTTATATAGAATTTTAGTTATATTATAGAGTCAACTCTTGGCTTTATGCCAAAACTGAGTAATTAGTACCCTACTTTTGATTAAAACAAAGACCTAGGTGAATTAAAAACGTATGGAAATTAAAATTTTGACTAGTCATTCCCAAAAGGGTCGGAACTGGCCGGTTGAGCACAGTCTTGAGGCGGCTCGTAGTTTTATCCGGGCCAATTCGATTAAAAATCAACTATCCAATTTCGGTAGTTTGGCTTATTATTAATTGGAATTGGAATCGTCGACTTAATTTTTTAATTATTGATTTAATAAATCGGATCGACCCAAACCTACGGTTCACTAAACTGGCCTGAAGCGTCGATTCATTGAACTGGCCCTCGCATATAATAGAGCCCGTTCATGACCCTCCAAACCCTGGTCCAGAAGCGACGATTCTGATCGAAATTGGGGTTTGGCCACGTCCAAATTCGACCATCACAAAGCCTGGCAATCACCATTAGTCGCCATTCATCGTTCGTCCATCAATAGTGAATTTCAACAAATCATAAATCACTTTGACTCGACTATCCAATTGTTTTCATCTTCCCACGTTGAAAAACCTTTCTTGTTTTGCCAATACTTATGACTGAACTTCGCTTCGTTTGTTGGCGATGAGAATTCCTTTCGGGAAAGCTTTGGATCTCTCTATGAATGAAAAGGGGGTGTTTCCAATCGAGAGTAACCACTACTGATAGGGTTTCAACACATTGTTAAGGTTGATATAGACGAACTCCTAATTCTCTTGCTTTAGCGTGAAAGAAAGGTCAAATCATTGCCCACTCTTTATCTTCTACTCATTGGACTCAAGGACATCGATAAGCTATACCAGCAGTAGATTATATCTATTCCCCTCTCCTTGTAAGTCAAGCTCAATGTAATCGACCCTCAAGCAGGGTCTTAGAAGGTAGGACCAACGAGAGGAAGTAAAATAGAAAGGCGAAATGTTTAATTTCATCATACGAAACGTTAAACTTTATTAAATCGTTGTTAGAGTTTTGAAAAATGAAAAATATGCATAGTAAATTGTTCTGGAACATCACTAGAGATCCGACCGTAGATTTGTTATGAAACATGTGTATTTAAAGCACCTTTCATAAGGAATCATAAGGTATATCACGATCGTCGATAGAAACTTTATATAGTCAAAAACACGTCAATGAATTTGTTAGATTTTTTACGACGTGCAACTACTGGATAAATATTTCAACCGACGATTTCCACCGACTCGATTGTCCAAATTTATGGATGAACTCTCATTTTGTTCCACGGATGGGCAACAACATACATTAATCAATTTGTTGTTTTGAGCTTACACTAGCCTTCAATTTAAAATGACATTTTCTGCATATTTTTTTTAAATTCATGTTCTTAATTGTACAGTACATGCTACTAGGGCTGGTATATTTTAACCGAAAACCGAATCGAACCGAACCGATGTGAAAATAAATCGAACCGAACTGAATCATGTGTATCGGTAACAAAAAATCGGTTACTGAAATGTTATCGGTTCGGTATCGGTTCCGAATTCATAAGGGTTCGATTTTACCGAACCGAACAGATAACAATATATATATAAAAAATTAAAATACTGCTTTTGAGTTCTGAATAGGTATATTAATATTAGTAAATAAAATATTTTGGTCTTAAATTATAACTAATTTAATAAAAAAGGATGGATGATGTTAATTTTTTAACTAGGGCTGGGCTTCAAATTTCAATCGCCTCCTTCATATAGTTATATTATCTCTCTTTTATGCTTATAGGCCCAAGGGAATTGAATCATTGTATTGTATGCTTATATAGTTATATTATTATCTACCTTTTCTTTTTCTCATATGAACTAAAGTAGTGGAATTACATGGTACGCGTGCCTTTTTTTTTCTGTATGCAAGAAGTCTGCTCTGCTGCCTGATGGTTTTTTATTTATTTATTTTTTTTTTTTTTCTATTTCGGTTTTTTTCGGTTCTTATCGGTTTAAATCGAAACCGAACCGCCTTATCGGTAACCAAAAAATCGGTTACCGACCTCTTATCGGTTCGGTTTCGATTTGAATATTAGTGAAACCGAAACATGTCGGTTCAATTTTGGTTTTATATTATCGGTTCGGTTATCAACCTCATACCATGCTACATTTTAATAAAAATAATACTAATTGAATTAAAAATGTTTTAAAACAAAATAATCGATCATCATGCCGCCACTCGTAGCCACCGATCACCACCAATAGATGTCATTCATCGCTCGTCCATCAATAGTGAATTTCAACAAATTACAAATCATTTTGAAGCTCCCGACTCCATCTATCCAACAACATATTTAATTTCATCATAGATACCTAAAACTTTGTTAGAGTTCTAAAAAAAAATCAAAGAATTGCGCAGTAAATTACGTTGGAATGTCATCGGAGATCTTATAGTTGTTATTGTGAAACATATATGTATTTTAAGCTCTTTTTATAAGGAATCATACGCGCGGTATCTCATGATCGTTGATCGAAACTTTAGATTGCCAAAAACACGCCAGTAAAGTTTTCAAATTTCTGACAGCGTGCGGCTACAAGACAAGAACTTCAACCGACGATTTCCATCAACTCGGTTATTTAAATTTTATGGGTGAGCTCTCATTTTGTTTTACATTTCATGGGCATTAATTCAACACACTTTAGTCAATTTGATGTTTTGAGCTTATACGAGCCTTCAATTTGAAATGGCATTTTTATATATTCTTTCAGTTTTTGTTCTTAATTTTACTCCAGCAGGTACAAGAGCCGACAAAGTCAAAATATTGGGTACCAAAATCGAAATAAGATAAAATTGGTTACCATATAAAAAAAATACTACCTCCTTTTTTAAATAAATGTCGTTTTGATTTTTTGATTCATCCATTTTGCTATGTATCTAGACATATTAATGTCTAGATACATAGCAAAATGGATGAATCAAAAAAATCGAAACGACATTTATTTAAAAAAGAAGGTAGTATTAGTTTTTAAGTGAGGATAATTAATAGTTTAATTAATGAGATTTTCTTCAATAAATTATTTAAGAAAGTAAAATGACACGTGTCAGTATTTCAATGGGTATATATTAATTGTCAAGTATGTATGTAGGAATATGTATGAGGGGTATTTGAAGATCTAATGGCCCATATTAGCATATCTAATGTTTTAATGTTGTTGTAGAATATTTTTGGGAAATTTTCACTTCTCCTATACGATTGCAAAAATATTGCAAAATTACCCTTCATACACAATTAATTGTGTATATACCTAACTAGTACGTAACCCGTGCGATGCACGGACTGTATTTATTTTGGAGAATATTATAATTTGAAGTGTATTAATAAATAAAATAGTGATATTACGTAGGTAAATTGTAAAATCATAAAATATTCATTATAACAAAATAATATATTATTAAGAACCTCATTGTACGCTATTATTAGTTTGATTACTTAGCAACTTGTTGTCCCC